TTTTTTTTTTTTTTTTTTTTTTTTTTTTTTTTTTTTTTTTTTTTTTTTTTTTTGTCCTGACGAGTTTTGATTTTCAAATTTTTCATCTCTTCAGAACTGAGGGTTTGGTTGTGTTGCATGTTCTTCACCATCATTTCTTTTACAGGATCATGGATCTCTATGAAAATTCTTCTAATACCTGTATTACCGATTCTTTCATTCGTCGATCATGATCACTCGTAATCTTTGGGGTTTAGTTGTGGTTTGGAATTTTGAGGTTTCTTCTTTTCCCATTCAGCCCCTGCAAGAACCATTCACTTATCCGTCGGTATTTTAAGAATCGGATCTCTAGGGGTTTAGTAGACAGTATGGTAATTCTTAGTACACCCGAAATATTGAAATTCCCTGCAGCTGATCGTGTGATATAGAGTGGTTTTTACCTTAACAGCTGTTCTCACTCCAGTGTTCCTTCTGAGCCTTTCATATTAATGAACTACATCTATTTGCTTGCAGGACCTTGTTCATTAGCCTAAATCTCGAGTGATTTGATTTGTGGAGCTTGCAAAAATTTAGACCAAGTTTATATGTTTCCGCACTGTGAGATGGTTACTGAGCTATGGTTCTTCACAATAGTCTAGATTATGGTTTCAATGGATACCAGATGCCCTCAATGCCTCGGGCTACCAGATCAGCTAGGGTGCATATATAAATCTTCCACTGTTTTGTTGCATTTGTGTCTTATATCTGGTCTTTGATTCTGGGGCTCTTACTGTTTTTTCATCGTTCTTGTCTTTTAATTGGGGATAGAGGAAGGGTGCTAGTAGAAGTAAAGTTGATGACAAGCAGATGTATGCATTTAACTTGCTGGCCTCTGTAGCCGGAAATTTGTTGCTTGAGAGGAATCCAACGACCTTATCTGATACGCCAACTTTAAAGGGTAATGGCATCGGTGTTTATTTGAAGCTGAAAGCTTTCCATTGACAGGAGACGTTCTTATTTCTGAGCTTTGCTTTGCAGGCCACGATCAAGATAAATATCCTTCAGGATTTTTTCCTGATGTGATTTCTTATGCTACAATGAACACTTCAACTTCTAAGGGTGTTGCTGAAACTTTGACAAAACAGAAAGCCATTGAAATGAAAAATCTTGTTAATGATGTTGACTTTGCTACTCACCCCAAGTCATGTGGTCACAATTTAGATGGTGGAAATAAGATTACGGTGAACGACAAGTCAGAGAAGGTGATGAGTGGCACTGATATGGCGACGTGCAGGTCTTCAGATCCAGTCGTATGTGACTGGAATCCACACATGTGGATTGGTTCAGAAAATGGCTTCAAGGTACCCTCAAGCAAGGACCATGGTCCTCAGCACCCTTGTCCCACAACCCAAGAAGTAGGTGTAAGAAATGATGACAACAGCTCCTTTGGGTGCATTTACCCAACTACTTCAAGAAATTCCTTCAGGAAAGCTCCTTGTATTAGAGGCCATAGAATAAGAAAAATATTGGCTTCAAAAAACTGGAACGTTGCTACAAAGTATGGAGCTGAGAGACCCAAAACAGGTAATGTGCCTGCACTGTTGGAGAATTCAGCTAGTACTCGGTCATGTTGACTTGTTTCTGACATCTATCTATTTTTCGAATTTCATTTGTAGGTGGGTATAAAAGGAAATTTAATTTCAGTAGGAGGAACTCCTACAAGAACCAAAGATCTCAAATGAATATCCCTTTCAAAAAGAGAAAACTCTTTGATGGTTGCTTTCGAGATTGCAATGGCAGAAGCATAGTTGAGAAAATTTCGGATTCAAATGAAATTGGAAGGGAATCTTCAGGTTTGTATCTGGAGATAATGGAGTGTTTCATATATGAGTCCGCTTTTATTATTTAGATTTCTTCTTCTCCTTATGGCTTAGTCGTTACAATTTTCAAACTGATCTTGCAGCCCATGGGAAATCATCTTTGGTTGCAGGGCATCAGAATTCTCGTGGTATATAACCTCTAGGACATGCTATATTTTGAAGTGAACAGTGTCTAAACATTGAAAAGAGAATCTTATGAAGACTTTTTTGTATGTTTTTAGTGAAGCTGAGGATAAAATCTTTCAGGGTACCCGAACTTTTCATTGAGATTCCTGAAACTGCAACTGTTAGTTCACTGAAGGTATGATTGGAAACTCACTGCGTGCTTCAGCATGTCTGATCAAGGAGATGATACATAAGTCATTTCTACAAATCCTACATTATAGTCTTGCTCATGAAGGAAACATATTTTCTCGTGGCATTTTACATTTGACATTATGTAAGTTGGAGCATTTAAACCTCTGATTTTTTGGTCGATAGTATGTCAGTTGAGCTATGCTCTCGGGATAGCTCTCAAGCATAAAGGCATAGTTCTTACAAAAAAAAATTTAAGTGTACTTCATTCTGATATATGACTTGTTAGAACTTCACTGCGTTTTACAAGGAGTTGAACATTTACCTTTAGAATCCCTAATTTTCTTCGAGGGAATAGTAATCATCAATTTCTGGGTAACATTTCTTCTGCCATGTATGTACACCCTGATGTATCGTTCTGCTTCTGTCTGTGTTCCATGAGGAGATGATTTAAAAGATTTTGAGCTGTAAATTAATTATTAGGATCTGCATAGTGCTTGTTTTTTTTTTTTTTTACCTTGTTTTCCATCCCTTTCTCAGTACTGCAATGAATTTACCGAATGATTACTAGTTTCATTGTTTGGAATTTGGTCTTTATCTTGCTTCCTTATTGTGTCTTTGTTCTGCAGAGGACGGTTATGGAGGCAGTGAGCACTACTATTGGTCGTGGTATACATGTCGGTGTACTCTTACGGGGGAAGAAAGTCAGGGATGATAATAAAACCTTAATTCAGACTGGAATTTCTCATGATAATCAGGATGAGTGTCTGGGATTTACACTAGAGCCTCATTCTTCAAAAGCCCCGTCGTCTTTCTGCCATGGGGAGCCTCCTCCTACGTTTCGTTGTAGTAGTACACTCGAGACCATAAACGGGTATTTCATTTCTTCATAAGATTTTCTTTCTCTAATAAAAAGCCAACAGTAATGATGAAGTGAACCATTCTTCCAGTTGTTAATGGCTAAATGCACATGCTCATCCTTTACTCATTATCCTATATAGTGCAACTTCTTATACTGATAGGGATGCAATATTTTCGTGATATTGCCAATCTTAGCATAGCTGTTGGTTAAGTCATATACCCTCGATTAAGTGGTCAGAGATTCAAATCCTCACTCCACGTGTGTTAAACTAAATAAATATATAGATGTCTGTGATCTTTTACTAAGCTCAGTTTATCCGAAGTAATACTTCTGTACTCTTATGTTCTCGTTCACTTTTAACAGATATCCTCCCAATCCAACGGTAGATCATTCAGGCAATAATAGTGCATTGTTGTTTGAGACTCATGCGGCCAAGTTGAGTAATTCAACCGACACTGCTTATGAGCCAGCGCCCTCTCTTGTCAATACCGCAGTTGAGGAAAGATCATCAGATTCTAAAGCACTGGTTACTCTACCAGCCATGGCTGTGGAGACACTAACTGTAGTTCCAGTTTGTCAAAAATCTAAACAATACGAGGTCGGCCATCGCAGAATGCGTAGACCCTTTTCTGTTACTGAGGTGGAAGCTCTGGTTCATGCTGTTGAAACACTTGGCCCTGGAAGGTATGTTGTTGACGCCTCAACTATGAGTTAAAAAGCAACTGTAAGTTTCTTTATAATCATTGTAGTAAAATTGATGGACTCAAATTAAAGTGAAAATTCGTCTTTGTTTTAGAATTTTTACGCTGTATATGGGATCTTTATACTTCATTTACCTGTAGGTGGCGTGACGTTAAACTACGAGCATTTGACAATGTTAAGCATCGTACTTATGTCGACTTGAAGGTGTGGTAACTGTTCTTTATATCTGATTTAGGTCCTTGGAAAAGGGTTCTTGTTGATGACATTTTGTAGTTATTTACGTTTCATCAATTTTTTTAACGATATTATGAAAATGTCGATTCACTTCTTATGTTGATGTCGATGTCAAGCCATAGACGTGTGGAAATGTTGAGTTGAAATGAGTTGTGGTGGTGCAGGACAAGTGGAAAACGTTAGTACACACAGCAAAAATATCCCCACGGCAAAGGAGAGGAGAACAAGTGCCTCAGCAGCTTCTTGAGAGAGTCCTAACAGCCCACGCTTATTGGTCTCAACAGCAACACATCAAACATGACACTCAAAAAACTTGCCTTCTGCTTCCGTAGCTTTCTTCTACAAAGCTTCCACCGACTTACTCCATGTAAATCTTTCTTTCCCTTTCGCCCTTTGTTGTTCCTCGTTTTTTACCTCCTCAATTTCTTACTGTTTTTCTAGAAAGTAATTCTGTAAAAAAATGTATTTACCAGGAAACAAAAGCTGTGTACTTTGCTTTGTTCTAGCTCAAAACAAAGGGTCGCCTCTACTACTGACTGTAGAGTCTGGCTCTTGCTGTATATTATTTGACTGAATAAGAGCCTGTTAATACAAATTCATCTGTCGTCCTATGTGTTTGATCGTTCATTTTACTTAATCCTGTTGTTAATTATGATAGATTGTTGGTTAAACTATATATATATATATACTTTCCTAAGGGTTATATGCTATTTAAGCTATTGTGTTGCTTTTTGCTTGTAGCTATATAACATTGCTTTTCTCTGTCCTCTAAAACCTTTTCTCGAAATGAGACTAGAGGCTTGAGTATACGTTGCTTAACTGTTGACGAGACGCATCAAAATTGGCTTGACTCAGTTAGGAATGAGTACCGCACAATCACAAAATTCGCCGGAGTAATTAATGAAGAAAATATTGCAGAATCAAAAGTGGCTCTAATCTACAGTCAAATGAATGAACAAGACGTGCTTCTATTTATCGACAATATCTTCTGTTTCGTTCAAGCGGGATCCGAAGTATCTGTGTTACTGGGTAGAATGCCTTCAGCTGTGGGTTTGGGTTATCAACCGACTCTTAGTACCGAAATGGGTTAAAAAACAAAGTGGATAGTTCAAGAAAAATGCATATATATAGTTTATTAACCTCAGAAATTCAATTATATATTTTTGACTAAAATTACAAATTTGATTAAAGATTAATACGACAGGTACTAAATTCAATTACATGGTTTTTGACTCAAATTACAATTTGGATTAAAGATTTAACGGTACATATATTAAATTAAAATAAAGGTGAATTTTTTAATACTATATTTGAATAATGCTAGATAGCTTTTTGTTTTAGGTTTGATTTGGTGGCTTAGTGGGCCGTTTTAATAGAAAAAGGGCAATCCATCGGCATTTCCTGACGGGTGGCGCTGGTGTCTTTCCACGAAGCACGCTTTATTCTTCATAATAGAAGGGACAACTAAGTTCTAAAAAAAATTTGGCTCATGAAATTATTAATAAATAATAGTAATATTTCATTTTTTATTACAGCATCTTAGGTGGGAAGATTCGAACTAGATGCTTTAATACTTGAGAGAAGCTATCATTTTATATATAACATCTCTGTGGTTTTACAATTTTAGAGAAAATTCTAATTATAAAGTTTGCAATTAAACTCTTAAATTATAGCAAGTGAATATATATTATAGGCAGTGCAACGCTTGCTTGCATAATGAGTGAGTCGGGAAAGTGGAAGAGCTAGCTAACAATAAAAAAATTCACTTTCAAACTTGAATGGAAAGAATGACGTTTTGAATGTGAGGCTATTCTTATTTTCCCCGAAGGGTTTGAATTAGTCCCCCAATTGTATTTCTCATGAGATTAAAGAAAATATGAGCTATCTATCTTTGAAAGATGTTCACTTCTTAAAATATCTAATATACGTACGCTTCTTAAAATATCCCATATATGTAAGCAGGAAGAAGGGAAGAGGCTAGATTTATCCCGATCGGAGTAGGAGTAAGAGTAATAATAATGTTTATCATCTTCGAAATTGTACGGGACTCTATAACACGGGAAAAGATGGAAGAGAGATAGATGAGGCAACTACCTTTGGTGCCCTACCGAGGCATTCTCGACCTAAATAAAAGTTATTTTTATTTAAATTAACATATAATTCTATCAAAGAAAGCCAAAAATTCATGATAATTACATACCCACCTTAGATTTTACCACCCCACACCACAATCCTGTCTTCGAGGAAACTTACATTTTTGGTCTCACATAACTAGCAGACAACTTGTTCTTCTCCTATAAAAAAGTCCGAATAAATTTAAGAACATAATAAATTACATATAATAAAAGCAAAACCATTTTTAAAAAAGAAGTGGAAAAATTCTTGGGGAGCACGCATGGGAACAGGGAAGAATGATGAGCAAAGGTCAAAATTTGGAAGGGTTGAGAGTTCAAAAGCAGCAGACACCCAGAATGGTCCAAACAAAGATCTTTGCAACAAAATACATTTCAAACCTAAGAAATGAGAAATGGCGCTTTTCCTTTTCACAGATCAGAACGCAACTGGATTCAATGCATTTCAGGCTCAACTTTTTGGCTTTTGTCATGAATCATAATAATGGTGTTCTTGACCTTTTTCTACAGTCAATTAGACACGATCCACATGGCTGGGTCTTTCAACTTGATCGACATGGCTGGGTAGTTTTTAACTTAATACACATGATATCCCATATCGGTTGGAGAGGAGAACGGAGTATTCTTTATAAAGGTGTGGAAACATCTTCCTAACAGATGCGTCTTAAAAACCTTGAACAGAAGCTCAAAATGATAATGTCTGCTAGCGGTGGACTTGGGCCCATTACAAATAGTATCTGAGCCAGACACGAGGCGATTTACCAGCAAGAAGGCTGAGCACCAAAAGGGGTGGACACGAGGCAGTGTGCCAATAAGGGCGTTGGGCCCGAAGGGGGTGAATTGGAGGGATCCCACATCGATTAGAGAAGGGAATGAGTTCCAGTAAGGACGGTTGGGCCGCAAAGGGGGGTGGATTGTGAAAAACTTCTCCCTAGGAGACAACGTTTTAAAACTCTTGTGAGAAAACTCGAAAAGAAAAGTCCAAAGAAGACAATATTTGCTTGCAGTGGGCTTGAGCCGTTACACTACGTCTCTACTTTTCCACGACTAATCCATCAAAACGAAGTTTTAAAACATAATTAAAAATACTAATAACCAACATGATTTCCATGGTGCATTTTGACAAATGTATTATACTAATGCAAGTCAAACGTCTTAAACAACAATATTTGCAACAATATTGGCATTTCTGTAAAAGAAAAAACAGTACAAATTATATTACAGATAGGCCTATCAGAAGTATAAGTTAACTTAAAAGTTATGTTAATACCAATGTGGAGTATTCTTCAAGTTATGAGAAAAATGGATTAGTCAATGTATACAAGGTTGAATGGAGTGGTTGCAGTTAAGCGTGGAGAAAAACAGCTCAATTATTAAAATATAAAGGTCTGTTCATCTTCTACCCTTCCTAATCTCCTTGGCCAAACTTGTTATATCTGAAAACCAATTCTTACCTAACATAAGATAAGAGATAGATAATGGAGTGATAATGGATTACAAAACTAGAGTTGATGTGAGATCCTACGTTGATTAGAGAGGGGGAACTAAACATTCCTTACAAGAGTGTAGAAACCTTTTCTTAACGGACATATTTTATAACCTTGATGGAAAGTCTATAAGAAAAAGTCCAAAAGACAATATCTACTAGCAGTAAGTTTAGACTGTTACAAATGGTATTAGAGTAAAAAACTAGACGTGCCAGTAAGAATGTTGGTCTCCAAGAGGGGTGGATTGTGAGATCCCACATCGGTTGGAGAGAGAAACGAAACATTTCTTATAAGGGTGTGGAAACCTCTGTGAGATCCCACGTCGGTTGGAGAGAGAAACAAAACATTCTTTATAAGGGTGTGGAAACCTCTCAATAGCGGACGTGTTTTAAAACTTTGAGGAGGAACTCAAAAGAAAAAGTTCAAAGAGAACAATATTTACTAGCGGTCGGCTTAGTCTCCGGAAAAAAAGATCAAATTGGAAAAGAAAACAAAAAGGGCAGGGTTTTGTGTATGCGTGTGTGTAGTGTATCTAAACTCTAGCTGGCTAAACTGGATTATGCCTGTTACGAGTGTGACAGAAAGCGCCAAAAGCAAATCAAGGAGTCCCCGGAAGGGGAAGGGAAGAGACGGGTCTATGGCATGTCATCGAGACGGGTCTATGGCATCATGCCATCTTAACAAATAGACCCAACCAATGCCTTATCCCTTCGCTTGCCAATCACTCCAAACACGATGATTTCCACTTTATAAACCTACAAAATCACTGCCTCCACCAATGATTTACTCCTCTCCCTTTCCTTTCAGTATAAACTTCCTTCCCTCCTCTGTCGGTTGCTTTCCCTCTTCTCTGTCTCTCTGTTTGCAGCTCAATTTTGCTTCCACTTCATGATTCTAATCTTTTGATTCTGTTGACTTTCTGTTTTTCATAGCTGTTCGAGTTCCTCCTAATAGTTTAATTTTTCTGGTTAATTCCTGTTTCTATAAGGAGTAGATAGATACCTATGGATCCAAACCTCAACGGTTTTCCAGATCATGAAGCAGATTATAACTCTGATTATCAGGCCCTCTTAACCCAATTACGTGATCTCCCCAATCGTTCGATTGATGGGTTTAGATTAAACGATTGGGCTTCTTTACCCACTTCATATCCATACCCTGAATTCAATAACCCATCTCCAGATCATGTTCCCTTCATCCAGAATTCCGTTTTCCCGAGCGACCCAGACCCTAATCAGTTTTCTTCGCCGTCAAGTGAGAGGGCGAAAGGGGAGCCACGTTCTGGGTCGGTGGGGTTGAACTCAGATGGAGGTGCAAAAGGGGTGGCTTTGGGGTTAAGCCCTGGTGGTGACTCTTCCTCAGATGAGAGTGACTTCAAGGAAACCGTTCTCAAGTACATAAGCCAAATGCTTATGGAAGAGAATTTGGAGGAGATGCCCTGCATGTTTTATGATCCTATGGGACTTAAAGTTACTGAGAAATCGTTCTATGACGCTCTTAGTGAGAACTACCCTCCTTCACCTAACCAACCTCCTCTGGATTGCGAGAGCTCTGAGGATCAATGGGCTGTTGATCCTGTAGAACATACGCCCCCTGTACTTCGAAGACCTTTTCCCAGCAATGAGTATCAGTCGAATTTTGAGGTTACTTCTGGCAATCAAAGCAACCTGATTACTAATAGTCATGAGTTCGCCACTGAGCTGTTGGCTCAGAATATCTTTAGTGATAGCACATCCATCTTGCAATATCAAAAAGGGTTGGAGGAGGCAAGGAAGTTTCTTCCAGGAGGTGAACAGCTGAATATTGATCTTGGCAGCAGCATACTGACAGGAGTGGCTTCTAAGGTAATGGATACAACAGAGAAGGTGAAAAGGGAGAATTCACCGAATGGATCGAAGGGACGGAAGAATCGGGAACGTGAAGATGTAGACTTAGATTCAGAAGAAGGGAGGAGAAACAAGCATGCCACCATTTATGGGGATGAGGAAGAATTATCTGAGATGTTTGATAAGGTTTTACTTCATGATTATGGAGGAAATGAGACCTCTGCAAATGGGAAATTGCAGTATAATGGACAACTTCATGGATCTATTGCTGGGAAAGCTCGGGAAAAGAAACAGGAGAAGAGAAAAGACTCAGTGGATTTGAGAAATCTTCTGATATTATGTGCACAAGCTGTGTCTTCTGATGATCGGAGGATTGCTAATGAACTACTTAAGAAGATTAGGCAGCATTCTACAACCAATGGGGATGGTTTCCAAAGAATGGCTCATTTTTTTGCCAACGCTCTTGAGGCTCGCATGGTTGGCACTGGTACAGGAAGCATAATCCACTATGAATCACTAATTCAAAGCAAGATTTCAGCAGCTGATATGTTAAAAGCTTACCAAGCACACTTCTCATCCTGCCCTTTTAAGAAACTCTCGCTTTTTTTCATGGTTAAAATGATTTTGAAGGTTGCTGACAAGGCCAAAAGTCTTCATATTATTGATTTTGGCATTTGCTATGGCTTCCTCTGGCCAATGTTAATTCAGTTTCTTTCACAATTACCTGATGGTCCACCTAAACTACGCATTACTGGTATTGATCACCCTCTACCAGGATTTCGTCCAGCCGAAAAGATTGATGAGTCAGGACGTCGTTTGGCAAAATACTGCAAACGCTTTACCGTTCCTTTTCAATATCAAGCCATAGCATCAGATAACTGGGAAACTATCCGAATCGAGGACTTCAAGCTCGATAGCAGTGACGTGCTAGTTGTGAACTGTTTCTACAGGTTTAACAACCTACTCGACGAAACTGTCGAAGAAACTAGTCCAAGGGATATTGTTCTACGTCTAGTAAGGGAGATGAATCCAAACTTATTTGTACATTCTATCACTAATGGATCCTATCATGCACCGTTCTTCATAACGCGCTTTCGAGAGGCACTCTTCCACTTCTCTGCACTGTATGATTCCTTAGACGTTAATTTACCTCGTGAAAGTGAAGAGAGGATGATGATAGAAAGAGAGTATCTCGGGCGTCAAATCATGAACGTAGTAGCATGTGAGGGCGCTCAGAGGGTTGAGAGGCCTGAAAGCTATAAGCAATGGCAGGTTCGGTGTATTAGGGCGGGTTTCAGGCAGCTTCCTTTGGACAAGGAGATGATGAACAAGTTTAGGAGCAAGTTAACAACCCATTACCACAAAGATTTTGTACTGGATGAAGACAATGGCTGGATACTTCAAGGGTGGAAAGGCCGTATTGTGTATGCTTCTTGTTGTTGGGTGCCAGCATCATAGGTGTATACTCCTTGCTGTAACTTGGGACACAAGAATGAGACTCCAGAGTCAAGACGAGAGGCGCATTCAATACGTTCCCTCTCAGATGACAGAGATTGAAGCAGAACTAGTGTGAGATATTTGTACTTCTCTCTGCTATGGGAAGTTTGAAGGTATCTGTTTGAAGGCCAAGTTCTGAACAAGAGACTGCTTGTATCAGATTCTCTCTTGTTAGTTCTATGGAAAGCATTTACCTTGTGATTCTGATATCATGAACTGTGGGAACTAAACATGACATGTATGATCGACCAAACATTTATCAAGTATACTAAGTAGATAGATGATAATATAGGATAAAAAAAAAAAGTAAACTTTAAGAGTAAAATACATATTTCAATAAATTCATTCTTATTATGTTTGAATATTTTCTTTCACACAAGATCACTATCTATCACATACCTCTATCCTTCCTTTCTAAATATTTATCACACACCTCTCTCATTCCTTTCTCATTTGATCTAATCTTTAATATCTCTCCATTGTTTAACGGAGATAATTGGGAGATGGAATGACAGACTAAAGCTTATAAAAAAGAAACAAGTTAATAATAAATAAATAAAAAAATATAATATTGATTGAATTCTCGAGCTCTCAAATACTATCATGAGTTCATATATAAAGTATCTTCCACCTTTTTCTAACTAAAAATGAAATTAAATTACTTAATTCAACTTAGAAAACACAAAATAATAATAATAATAATAATAATAAATAAATAAATAAATAGTATTTTCAACATTGCTACTCAAAATTTGAAAATAATTTTCAAAAACAAATTTTCCAATTCAGTTTGCATGCATTATATACTTAGATCAATAAGAAAGAAAAAAAATATCTTTAAGAAGACAATACTTCTATTTCCTATTGTTTGAAAATGTTCTAAAAAAGTAAATAGAAAAAGCCGAAGTTCCTGATAGACTTCCTATTGTTTAAATGATCCAACGGTTGAGAAACATCCACATGTTCCTTACCAACGCGTTCTCAACTTCAAACGTTGTCGGCAGTTTAATAAATAGCTTCAAATAAATTTCATAAATAGTTTCTAATAAATATCAAAAGCCATGTTTGACATTATTTTCAAATGTAATGACTTTTGCCAACACGTGCTTTTTAAAACTATTTTTCAATTTTGTAATCAAATTCTAAACAATTAACATGTTCATATTTTCATTCTATACAAATTTTTTAATTTAAAATTATAAAACGTAAAATATATATTAAAAAAGATAAAACTCTAATAATTATAATATATCATACTCAATTTGTCTTTGTTATATATATATATATATATATTACAAATTATATGATATTGTAATATAATAATTTAACAATTTATTACAAAAAAAATATAAATCCACTTCCAAAACATAAAATACAACTTTGTTTTCATTACATCCCCTATTTCAAATATCTATTTTCAAATCACCCACCAAACATACCCTAAACTTTCACACTTTTAAAAAATGTATAGTAAATCACTGAAGTTTTATTTTTGGACTGAATAGTTTCGAAGTACTTATTGTTAAACTACCAAGCTGATAGCAATCAAACACATCCTCATATTCTACAATTGAATTGCACTCATTTGATGGGTCTTATAAAATTTTCAAGAACTTAAACAAGCTATCTCTCAACCACCACCACAAACAAGCTATCTCTTCAGACAAGTCTTTGTGTCCCTTGTCCATAAAAGATAAACTACTAGAGTAGATTAGGCTTCAATCCTTATCAGCCCCCAGCTGATGTTCAATAGCAACATAACAGGCGAACCAGAAAACATTAATTTAACTGACATTGGGTCCAAGGATGTAGCAAATATAGGCAGGTTAAAACATACCCAATTTCATGAGACTAAGATATCAAAGGGCCATCATATTGTTGAATGAACATTTATCAATTGTAGCTTGTAATGGCCGATTCATATCCATACCTGATGGGGCCTCTAAACTGCGTGTTACAAGGATAGACCCAGCTGAGATGAATCAAGTGCTTTAATGTCTAATTTCAGAATGACGGGATCGCATCCCAGAAATGGGAGACTATGCGGATTTTGGTTTGAGTATGAATGGAAATGGGGAGTTTGCTGTGAACTATATGTTTCAGTTTCCCAGCCCAAAGATCTACTTGATGTGATAATCCATAAAACAAATAAAAACAGAACTACGAGCAGTGACATATATGATAAAGCAACTTCTAACAGAGTCCAAGCCTAGAAATCTCGCATAGCCCTATCTGTGATCTGAAAGATATAATGAAAGAGGATTTTCATTATGATGGAGAGGAAGAGTCAGAGACACTATATCCTGTCATATCCCTGCGTTGTAAGGGAAAAGGAAATATCCAACATTTGCAGATTTCATCGAGAAAATCACACATCTATTTCCAACTTATATATTATATACAAGTACGTCTGTTTTTTTGTTCTTCTCTTCTTTCCAGAAAACAAAATGGTAGAAATAGTCACTAGTAACACTCAATTTACATGAAACTAAAAAGTAAACAGATGATGAAACCAACAATAGACAAACCAAACATAGATGAAGCAGAGCACTAAAATGATTTCTAATATTTGAGCGCGGACGCCTCAAAAAGAAATCAGATGAATTCTGATCTATTTCATAAAATACCATCATCACAGAAGATCCACTCTCATTGCTTGCTAAAAAAAAATTGCAGGATCTATTTTCCATTCGCAATACAACTGAATAGTCCAGAAATCTAGTTTTTAGAAAATCAGACAGTATTCCAAGTATTGGGCGTCATTCTTGATCCAAGTACAGGAATGTATGAATTTAGGAACACCACTGAGTTGATATATGGGTACATCTAATTTTTGAAGATAAGATACGTTAAATGGAACCTTCAATTAATTGTTCAGGTAACGTTTAACAGTCCTATTTAACTACAAAATATGGTAAGAAGTCGAAACAATTTCCCAAGAGCATAGGAACTGGATTCTCCACCCATCTAAAGACTCTACTATACAAGGTTATCCCCTCTTATTTGGAGTCTTAGAGGGCCTAAGGACATTCCAGTCCAGATTTTCACCCTTTGGTTTCTTGAAGAATCCTTTACCATTATTAAATGATGACTGCTGATTGTCCCGACCACTTTTTGGAAACTTAGTTGGATGTCGTCCTTCAGACACTACTTCAGATTGTTTCCTTTTAAGGTCCCCATTAGTCTCACAATTTTTTTCATCATTGTTTGAGAACACTGCTTCATTTCGTGAAGATCCATTTTCTCTGGGGAACAAAAACGTTTGTTGAAGATGAAAGGGCAAAAGAAAGGCAAGATAAAAAGGACAGCGGTAATTCAAGTGACTTTCTTTTGTGAATGAAAGATTTATTCAACCCCGCCCCCAGAAAAAAAAAGTATAATAAAAAAATAAAAAAAGAAGGAATAAACAACATAAAAGCTCCATTACATTTCAGTGAGTTTTTAAAGCGACAATTTAAAAATAAAAAATAAATAATAAAAAAAATAGCTAAAGAGATTCTTGCATATTAAATTCATATCATCAAAATAGTTCCATATAAAATTAAAATAATAAAATAACAAAAATATATTTTTGCATATATTGTTGATGTTATTTATACTTTTATTCTCTAGGTGGCACTGTTATTTATACTTTTGATCCTCTAGGTGGCACGGCCATTCTTTCCTCGTTCTTTTTTTTTTTTTTTTTTTTTTT